GTTATTAAATAACCATGCTTGCTATTCACATTTAAACCATAAAATGATTCTGGTTTGATCTTTAATATATGAGAGGCAATAAGAGATTAAATGATATCTCAGGTAAATAAGGTCTAAATCACTAAGATTTCATCAATTCCGGGTGGGCAGAGACTATGTCATGTGTTTCTTTTATAATCAAAGAGTTTTGAATTTCACACTTTTTAAAAGAGTGTGGTAGTTATAAGGTAATTTAAATTTATGTGCCTCTAATGTCTATACTCTACAGTTTAGCAGACATTAGCATAAAATTGGATAGCAGCAGTGGTGTCAGTGTATCTCACTTCCTTTCCCTGGACAAGATAAAATCAGAGAAGAAAGCAGCAGGCAGCATCGAGAGTTGAGAGTGTGACTAGATAGCCTAGGCTGACAACAGAAAATGTGCTGTGTGCCAGAGGTTGACCTGGTGATCAGTGAGTTCAGATTGTAGTTTTTCCTCAGTATCATGGAATTCCTGATATGCATGCTCGAAATAATGTGAAACTGTACTTGAAAAAAAAAACAAACTGTACTTGAGCTTCATACTGATAGTATAGATATACAATTAATTTTGATAGTAGATGTTTGTTTTGACTCTTGTTTTGAAAAAAAGCAGAGGTGTAATTGAAACAATGGTTCTTAGGCAGTTTTAAATATGGAGGGATGTGGAACTGATCATAGAGCAATTTCTTTATTTTTTTTATTTTGGTTTTTTTTGGGGGGGGGTTGGTACCGGGGATTGAGGGGATTGAACCCAGGTCCTTGCGCTTATGCAGCAGGCAGCAGAACCACTGAGCTAAATCCCCAGCCCTAGAGCAATTTCTTTACATTTAAAACCACTTGAAAAATCTGATGAGCCCTACCCACAGATATCTGGAAAATGCACATTTATGCAAATTTACATAAAATTTTAGGGATTCACAGAACTGAAATCCATTTATAGATCCTGCTCTAAGTCAATTTCATTGTTTTTGGACAGCTTTACTTTTATTTAGTTCATGGCTAATTAAATTTATTGTGAAGAAGATGCTAATGAACTGAATTTACAAGTTTTTTGTTGGTTTGTTTGTTTTCTCGGTACTGGGATCCAACTAAGGGGCTTGCACTTGCTAGGCAGGTGCCACTGAGCTACATCCCGACCGTGAAGTTACAAGTTTTAATTTCCAAATAGGACATTTAATGATAGTTATTCTGTGGTTGGCTATGTCAAATTTAACTTTTTGTGTGTGAGAAACACATGTACACCCACACAATCTGTATGCTATGGATTATAATATGATTGGATAAGATTATGTGAATTGGCCAAAACTAAAAACTTCAGATACATATGTAGATATTACATCATCTTTAGGGATAAGGAAAAGCATATTATCGTTTGTCTTTTGGAGCTGTCATCTTACTTGAAGTTGTGATATTTTAGAATATGGAGCTGTTATATAGAATTTTTTAAAATTTAATTTAAAATTGAGGTTGGGTACTTTTTGTTTTTTTGAGACAAGGTCTCTTTATGTAGTTCAGACTGGCCTTGAACTCGCTATGTAGCCTAGGCTAGCCTCGAACTCAAGTGACCCTCCTGCCTCAGCCTCCCAAGTGCTGGGATTACAGGCATGAGCAACCATGCCCAGCCTAGAAGGACACTTTAATATATCTCCCGAAATAATTGTGTAACTCAGAATCTCAAATTATTTCCATGTGGTCACTGGTTCACATCCAGTAGTGAGAAAAGGAGAATGATGAGCTTTGATTTATGGAAAGTGCATGTATTTATGTATTAATTCTAGTCATAACTGAGATGTTGCTATAGTTCTCTTAACTATAGATGTTGCTATAGTGTTATTTTGGGTACTCTTGTTTTCTTAACTTTAGATGTGCAGAATAAAGTTCCAATCTTAGTAGGAATTTAGCAAAAAAATAAAATTCTGCATCAGGGGTTCTCAGTCTCAGTTGTCATGTCATCTTCTTAAAGATTATATATTCTTAGGGTGGGGGTATAGTTCAGTGGTTAGAGCACTTGCCTTGCATGTACAAGGCCTGAGTTCACTCCCTAGTACTGCAGGAAAAAAAAAATTGAAATATCCTTTCAGACTCAAATTTATTTTTTCTCTAATTTATCCCAGAAGCTTAAGTGCTGTTGTGTGACTTAGTGTTAAAAGAAAAATAATAATATACCAGGGGTTTTTTTATCAATTTTAGTTAGCTTGTGTAGATTTCCAGATGGCAGACAGCATATGAAGAGAGTAGAACAAGTTTAAGGGACATATGTTAATATGGTTACAAGTGGAAGCTAAGTCAGTATACCTGGAGCACTGTAATGTTCCAGTTACCTGCTTATACACTTGATCTTAGCCAAAAGGCCGAGAAGCGATAAGTTGTTACCTGCTTATAGACTAAACTTCCTGTGAACTTCTTTGAAAAATAAAGCCGTAGTCCAAAGCTGTAGTATTTAAACTACTTGTTCATTTTCTCCTTCATTCATTTACAAAAATGTAAAAATGTCTAATAGAAAGTTTGTGAGGAAAATGAATGTGCATGCCACCATATTTTTCGTTTATAAGAGATTGATTTTGCAACATGGGGATCGAACCCTGGCCCTCATGCATCCATGCTAAGCAAGTGCTCTTTTGCTGAGCTACTATCCCAGCCAAGAGATGGATTTTGAAATCAGACATAAAGTAACACGTGCGCATCCACAAAATGTGGTCATCACTATTCCAAACTGTTGCAAATGCAGAGTTGAAAATCTTAGGACTTTGATGCACACACCCTATACTGGGGACTGAACCAAGGGCCTTCACACTAAGCTATACCTCCAGTCCTTTCTTATTTATTTTGTTGTTATTGTGTTTTTTTGGTACCAGGGATCAAACTCGGGACCTTGCACTTGCGAGGCAGGTAGCAGTACCACTGAGCTAAATCACTGGCCCTTACCTTTATTTATTTATTTAATTTTTTTTTTGGTACCTGGGATCAAACTCTGGTCCTTGTGCTTGCGCAGCAGGCGGCGAAACCACTGAGCTAAATCCCTGGCCCCCCTTTTTTTATTTTTTAAGACAGGCCTTGCTTAATTGCTGAGTTGCCCAGGCTGAGCTCGAACTTGTAATCTTCCTGCCTCAGTCTCCCAGAGTGCTAGAATTACAGGTATACGCTAATTTACACTTGTGTCTGAAAATTACTTGTGACTTTAAATAGTATGAACTAATAAAATTAAGCATCATGTATTTCACAGAGCACACAGATGCACTTAATTTTTACAGTCCTGTATACACGATTTCTAAGATCATAAAATGAAAATTTTAAACCAAGAATAGGAGTTGCCGGGCTCAGTGTTTCCGCTGCCTGCCTTTCAAGTGCAAGGTCCCAAGTTCAATCCCCAGTACCAAAAAAAAAAAAAAAAAAAAAGAATAGCAGTTACCATCACATATAACACTGTTAATATTATGTTATACTAAACAAAATATCTTTCTATGTAATTGTATTCTGGACCAAAATAACCAAAACTTGAAGAGAGGTTTAATTTGCCTCGTGGTTTCAGAGGCAAACCCAGTGCAGGGTTGGCTGGCTGAAAGCCAGATACTCTTGGCATAAGGGCGAGGTGGGACAAAGCTGCTCACTTCGTGGTGCTGTGAAGCAGGGAAACTGTGCCAGAGAGGGAGGGTCCGGGCACTGGACATGACCCACCCAGGCACACCCAGAAGTGTGCTTTACTAATACCCTGGGCAGTTTGACAGTCCAGTGTGACTGTTAACAATAGCTCAGGAATTCCCCAGATCTGTGTGTGTGAGTCTGTGCTCAGTAGAAGTGTCCCAGGAATGCTGTGGATTAAACTGCAGTCAGATTATTTACTTAGATTACTGTATTAGTCTTTAGTAGTATTAAAAATGGATCATTTAGTTACAAGTACAAAGTTTAACTGACTATTTTCTTGTACCAGGGATTGAACTCAGGACCTTATGCTTATGAGATAGGTGCCACTGAGCTAAGTCCCCAGCCCTTAGCTGACCATTTTTTTTTTTTTGGTACCGGGGATCAAACTCGGGATCTTGTGCTTGCGAGGCAGGCGGCAAAACCACTGAGTTAAATCCCCGGCCCTCTTAACTGACTTTTAATAACTTAGGTAGTACTAGTAAAAAGTCCTGACCACCATTACAAAAAAATGAGACTCAGAGAAATTTCAAATCATTTGCCTGTTAGAACCAAAGAAAATCTTGTATGTGAGAGCTTTTAGCCTATCAGGATTCCAAGATATGCCAAAGGAATCTTGGAGATTCATTGGAACAGTATAGTGCTGTAGAGTAAAGTAGGTCTTGTATACCCATTACTAGTGAAAACTCTTCAGGAGACATTACTAGTGTATCTTGAGAGATGATCTGAATTTGAGGCTGAATTATGTGTTCCTCGAGCGATATCACAGCAATCCCTGTTGCATGTTTCAAGAAGCCAGTTAGTACTGTAATTGGCACAGGAGTTTATAGAATGAGTCTGGGGAAGACTGTGTAATATATGTCCCTGGGAGCAAAGCTCTTTGAAACCAAGTAAAAGCAATAAAAAGAAAGAAAATCTTTGTCATCAAACATGGTAGCTGCTTACTAGCTACACAGGATTTCCATATACTGAATAGGAATCCATCCTAAGAGAAGGCGAGAAGCCCACAGAAAGGAAAAGGAAGGAATGCAGTGAGAAAAATTTTGTCCTCAAGTGCTTCTGTAGATCTCCTATATATTTATTTTCTTGTAGTAGCTATCTGATAGTGTGAACTCTTTTTCATTTCTGAAGGTATTAACTAGTTTATTTGTATCTAAAATTAATGTACCTGTTTACTTGTGAAAGAAAAAAATCAGTGGCTTAACGCTTTAATGATTAAATAGATTGAGTCTGTCTGCATTTAAGGCCAGTAATATTTATAATCTGATAAGTTTATCCAGCAGTAAAGTATCATAACAGTAAGGCTTATTGACTATTACTTTTTCTCTTGTTTGTCTTAGGGTCTTGACCCACCCCATCAAAGTGACACAAGAACTATTTACATAGCCAACAGGTTTCCTCAGAATGGCCTTTACACACCTCAGAAATTTATAGATAACCGAATAATTTCATCTAAGGTAAGGATTAACACTTTTATTATTAAGGTTGTAGATATGTATCATTTTATTTTGAAAAATGATCTAGTGTGTGTTTGAATATTTATATCTTTACAAAGTCTAGAAAATGGCAAGATTAATAGAGTATCTTAACCAAAATGAAAAGTTGTGTAATCACAGCACTCTGGGAGACTGAGACAGGAGGATCACAAGTTCAAGCCCTGCTTCAATAATTTAGTGCAATCCAGTCTCAAAATAAAAAAGGGGATGGGGAGATGTAGCTTAGTGTGAAGACCCTGGGTTAAAAAAAAAAAGATAGGCTAAAAGAATTGGGAGTCACTATTACAAGGTAGGCAGCTTGCTGAAAAATTTTCTTTAGTTACAATTGAACTCCTAATATACTACATAAAGAGTACTATCCAGTGGTCATTTAATCCTTACAACAACCTTTGAGAGAACAATTCTTAAATCTATTTTACAAAGTGTTATCATGCTCATGTCCCTTTTTTCAATTTAAGTGTTAGGAAATGGAATGACTTTTCCAAGGTTGAACACTGGTAAGAGGCTACATTGGAGTTTGAACTCAGTTCCCTAAGACTTTAAAGCCTGCTTGCTCTAATTTAGTCACTCTACTGTAATAGTTCTTTGGTAGCAGAGTACTACTTTACTCTTATTCTTCCTTGTTTCATTTTTCCTATGATATTTTTAAGATGTCTCAGTTTATTTTGAAGCCAAATGTTATACAGCAATACTGTCTAATACTTTTCTCTCCTGGTGGAAGCATTTTCCACATTCTCCAACATGGTAACTGTTAGCCACATAGGGCTGTTGAGGCCTTGAAATGGGGCTGGTGCAGCTGAGGAGCTGTGTTACCGATGGCTGCCTTACTGGACAGTGCTGTTTGTTATAAAGGACTCAAGTCAAAGAGACTGAGGATAAATCTCTCCTTGGATCATAGCTGTAACTTGATAGGGCACCTTAAGAAGTGTCTTTGTATTGCTTCTTCACTCCTTTCCAGAGAGTGAGAATTATTTCTCTAACCCCGATTTTATCTTTCCCAAGGATCTTGCCTTTGTTCACTGGTTGCTTTGTCCGGCCCCTTTTTTTCTGCCTTCATATTATTTACATATTAACATACCCATTAATGACAGCAGATTACACATGTTCCATATGTATCATACTCATTGTTTTAGAAAACCTTCTACAGCAGAAGGTAGGAACTAGAATATCAGAATCTAGGAGGATGAGGTGGTCTAGAATCTAAGTGACTCAGTTCTTAGTAAATCATGTTAAAACTTAGAATTCTTCAAAACTTGAAGGTCATTCATTCTTAAGCTGGAGTGTAGTTTACGTAGAAGAAAATTCATCAGTTTTAAGTGTAACCCTTTGGATTGTTTATTTTTTGAATTTGGTTCTCCTTTGTGCTGTTCTCTCCCTACATACTTGTATTTTCCCCTAACCTTTCCAGTTGCTTATTCACCCTGAACTCCCATCTCGGTTGCATTTTACTGGGAAGGCTGTATCCACTGACCGTCCCCCCCACCCCCACTGGTTTGCTGCCACATCTGAGGGAATTGTATCGTATCTCTAAGCTGAGAAGCCAAAAATATATAATTCTTACTGTTTCCATTTGCAGTTTCTTTTTTTTTCTTTCATAAGCTCTTTTACTTTACCTATATTTTGGACATTTTCCAGATTTTTAAACAGTTTTAGGTCTAGATTTTGTAATTTTTATCTGCTAGGAGTTCATAGGACCACTTAATGCTTTTACCAGTACTGGAAGCTGAGTTTCCTTCTGGAAAACTTTTGGTGTTAAATAAATACCTTTATATGGCTGTGTTCATGTGCAGCAGTATTAGGTTTAATATTTTTGATCATGGTTCCAAAAATGTTTGTTTTTTGTTGGTTTTTTTTTTGGTACTGGGGATCGAACTCAGGTCCTTGTGCTTGCAAGGCAGGCAGTAGAACCACTGGGCTAAATCCCCGGCCCTAAAGATGTAGATGTTTTAAAACATTACCATTAAAATTTTTTGGCATAAATAAACACCATCTCTCATTATAACCTCCTTTATTTATCTTTCTTTTTTATACCACTGTTGCTTTTTTAACCCACTTCTGAATTTGATTATTCTTTCACAAGTTCACACTGAACTTTCTTACTATTTTGCTTTGCTAGATTGCATGTTGGAAACCAATTTTTAAAAAATAAAATTTTGTGAAGTTTTTTTTTTAAAGATAGAATCAGGCTGGCTTTGAATTCACTGTGTAGCCCAGGCTGGCTTCAAACTCATGGCAGTCTCCTTCCTCAGCCTCCCAAGTGCTGGGATTACAGGCATGCGCCACCACACCTGGCAATTTTGAGGAGATTTTAGATTTGATTTTTTTGTGTGTTGTTGTTGTTTTGTACCGGGAATTGAACTCAGGACCTTGTGCTTGCCAGGCAGGCACAGCATCAATGAGCTAAATCCCCGGCCCTTTAGACTTGTTTTTGTAGAAAGGTAGAATTCGTATGTTCACACACAATTTGAAGAATGTAGCTATTTATGTAGATACTTATTTTTTTCCTAAGCATAAATGAAGACTATCTCTTATTTTTACTATTTGTTTACTCCCATCATTCCCTTAAACTCTTTCCTGACTGTGTTACCTTCTGTCCCACAAAGCCACAACGAACTCCTTCCACTGTCCCTTTGTTTATACTGTCCAGAAATGTTCTCCCATATTTGATTTTCAGCCTGTTGAATGTTCCTTTTTTAAAGCCCATGGCAAATATGATTTCCTTCATTAGATTTTTCTCATTGCTTTTCCTTTGAATTATTTGTTCCTTCATTTACTTCATCTTTGATATTTTTTCTTAGTCTCCTCTTTTTAATAATAATCTTTTGTTTCCTCAATGTATAATTTATACATCATAGATATATATTGACCCAAAACTACCTTAAATTTAAATTTCTTTGCAAAATGTATGGTATTTTTGGCCATATACTAGTTTTCTTACCAATGTAAGGCCTTGGGGGGGGGGGACAATTATAAAGTCATACATAACAGTAGGATGTTATGCTAACTCATTTATCTTAACCACTCTTACATTGTTTAGTGTTACACTAATAAGACTTCTTTCTCTCTGTATGGTAGGGTAAGCACAGAAGTCAGATTCATTTGATCTGTTAATATGTTTATATTTCAGAAAATGTGGAAATAATAGTTCCTACCATTTATAAGATAGTTTGCATATGAAATTTTTATTTATCTTACAGTTTTACTTGTAATTACTAAGCTAGCCATAGAAAATGCTCTGAAAATAATTACCTTACTGCCAGTTTATGTAGTTGTCCTTCATAAGATTCTAGAAGACTGTTGAGGTAGGTTGGTATAAATTTAAGACATTGCCAACTTAATTCTTATAATTCTTACAATTACAGTTCTTTATTCTTACATTGCCAACTTATTCTTATGCATTTGATTTGGTGACTGGGGAAGTTTCATGGAGGTTTTTCAACCCTTGTAGGAACATCTTTTACTTTAGTCAAGAGCAGCTAGAGATGACTTGACCCAAAAGTACCAACTTATGTAACACATTGAACAGTAACTTCTTTTGGTTCCTTAAGAAAGTATCTACCTCTCTTCTCTCTTGAGCCCTGTATATTGCCACTATTGAAGAAGAATATGTTTTATGTATCCCAGATTAAACTGGACATAAAACTGCCCTAAAAAAGAAAGATTGTTAGGTATTGTTGAACTCTTTATATACCCCTGGGTATAAGCTTTAGTGGCCTCTTCTGGGAGCCTAACTCTATTTATAAAATTGTTTACATGGGAAAGGATACTTCTAGGCCTCTAACATCTGACTTAGAAGTAAACTTAACATACAAAACTCCAGAAATTAGGGCCATCTGTCTGAGTTATTTTTCTCATTGCTGAGACAAACTACCCAACACACAAAGTTAAAGGAGAAAAAGTTTATTTTGGCTCACAGTTTGTAGAGGTTTCAGTTCATAGTTGGCTGGCTGCAAGGCAGAGGGGAGGGGTATTGCAGCGGAGAAATAGTTCATAGGAAGCAGCAAGCCAAGGGACAGCAGCAGCCGTCTTCCTGTCCCTTATATCCTAGCCAGGCTACCCACCCTCAGGCGAAATAGCACTGGCACCCAGGTGGGGCAGCCTTAATCATAGCATAGTACTATGAATCAATCCTAGCATCACACCCTTGATCCCATTACCACATACCCTAGATCCAGTCACCTCCCAAAAGCCCCACCTATGACCCATGAGACTGGAGGGACATCTAGATATAAGCCATAACACCATCTTATATTGGACCAGAAAAATTTTAAACTGTTTATTTAAAAATCTTAAATTGGAGCCAGGCGTTGGGGTGCACACTTGTGATCCCAGCACTCGAGAGGCTGAGGCAGGAGGATTGCCACAAGTTGGAGGCTAGCCTGGGCTACTTAGAGAGACCCTGTTCAAAAAAAAAAAAATCTTAAATTGAGCAGTAATCATCAACTTCATTGCCAAAATCAGAATATTTCTCGGAAAAAGCATATTGAATCATATTTATTTATTCACTCATCAATTCTGCAAAATTTTGATCTCCAACTATGTGTATATGCCAAGTACTACAGGTAAAGCAATTACATAAAATGATGTTCCTAGCTTCAGAGCTCTTACTGTCTATTGAGAGAATATACATAGGGTAAAGTAAAAGTTTTACAGTTTGCCTATTTCATATGTAAAATTAAGTTGTAACAGTATAAATAAAATATATAGTATATTACTCTGCTCCTGTACTATAGCATTATAGGCTTATGAGCTGATTGATGATATTGCAGATATTTATGTAGCAATTAATGTGAGCCAGGTTCTATCCTAAGTGCCTCATAAATATACTAGCTTGTTTAATCTTTGTAAGAACCACATAAGGCATGGTTATTATTATCCTCATTTATAGAGAAATAAAGTAGGGTACAAAGAGATTACATCCAAGGTTATTTAATGACTATTACAATCAGGATTTGGGTTTATAGTAGTTTAATCCTCAAACATCTGTCTTTTATGCCACTATACCGTCTTACCTTTTAAAACTGACATTGTGACAGTTTTATATCCTTTATGATTATCCCAGGGATCATTTATCTAAAGCCTTCTTTTTTTTCCAACAGCTTAGATTATTTTCCCATATTCCATACTAAAAAAAGAATAGTTGAATAATTACACCATTTTCTGTTTCTGACCTTGAAATAAATAAAATATAAAATAAATGGTATCTAATGTCAGCATTCTTGTCGCCTTTTACTCATCTTTACCATTAGACTTAGTTTTATATAGTCCAAAGTAAATTATTACAAGGTTTTTACAGATCTTCCTTTTCTAATTTCTAAAAAGTCAACAGTTTAATAGCAAAAGTGATAGGTTCCAGTTTATTTTAATTTTTTAAAATTATACTAAATACTAAAAGAAGAAAGGTCGAATAAAAGTCTTGGACTCTGGAGTCCAAATAGTTTCCATAGCATCAAGAATTAATTTGTCTAAGGGCTTAGTAATTCTGATTTTACTTTCATTATTATTACATCTAGGTAGTATATGTTGTTTGAAAATATTAATTTACTGATCTCTTTTTCTTTTATTTTTTAGTATACTGTGTGGAATTTTGTCCCAAAAAATTTATTTGAACAATTCAGAAGAGTGGCAAACTTTTATTTTCTTATTATATTTTTGGTTCAGGTAAGCTTTATCACCTGGTTGTTGTTTGTAAACATGGTTTCTAAAAATATGTCTTAGAACAGTAAAAGATTACATCAGTTTCTTAATAATTTTGCCATGGGACTATTATTTTTCTACAAAGCTTTCATATTATATTTAGTGAATAATCTGAATCACATCTAGATTTCTAAAATATAGCCTATGAATTTTTTTTGTTGTTTTTTTGGTACCGGGGATTGAACTCAGGACCTTGAACTTGCAAGGCAGGCAGCAGAACCACTGAGCTAAATCCCCGGCCCTAGCCTATGAATTTTAAGATCAACTGCATTTTATTTCATACTGTTGTACTATCGGTTGATAATTATAATCCAAGCCAACCATCTTTCAAATGCCAGCCTCAGAACATAGATGTTTTGACTCTTGATGTACATACAGTGCATGTTGTTAACAAACCTGACTATGGAATCACCTTTGTACAAAGTACTTTTTAAAATTTAAATTCTATTTTATATGGAAATATTTGTATAAAATACTTTTTTTTAATCTAAATTTTATTTTATCTGGGATCAGCAACACATACCTTTAGTTGGGAGGCTGAGACAGGAGGATTACTTGAGCCCAGGAGTTTGAAGCCAGCCTGGACAACATAGTAAGACCCATCTGAAACAAACAAATAAATCAGTAAATTTTGCTTTAATCTAAAATATTTTAAACAATTCAATATTTAAGCACTCCAGTGAATATGGATTCTTATACTGGAGACCCTTAGCTTAAATCTGTGTTCATGGGTTGTGACAGCCTTTCATATTATGCTTTTTTTTTTTTTTGGTACCAGGGATCGAACTCAGGTCCTTGCACTTGCAAGGCAGGCAGCAGAACCACTGAGCTAAATCCCCAGCCCTGTGCTTTTTTTTTTTTTTAACATATCAAATTATCAAGAGAAAAGCCCATGAAACTAAAGTGTAAGATTTAAAAATAGCAAGTATTTTCCTTTAAAGAAGTAATTCTTTTCTGAAAAAACCTTAGAAATTTCTTTCAATGTGACATAGAATTTTTGTATAAACTGAACCTTTCTCTCAATAGAACCAGGGATTTCAAAGAGGAAATAGTCACATAATCTTTTTTTTTTTCTGTTTGTTCTGGGGCTCAAACTCAGGACCTTGCTCTGGCGAGGCAGGCGGCACCACCACTGAGCTAAATCCCCGGCCCTCAAGTAATCATTTTAAAGCTTGAGAAAACATTTTTTTTTTTTAAAATTGCTTTCCATCATGAACAGAAGGAATTTACTGATTTTTTGTCAATAGAGCACCTGCTTGGTTTTCTTGGAAAAGTGAGAAATTATACAAACCATTTCCACAAAGTATGCATGCATTTATGAAATTGCTAACTAAGATCAGGAATTCAGCATGTCTGGAATAGAACAAATTTAATTGCCCTATCCAGAGTAAAGGAACATTAATAAATTATTAGATCAATGTTCTAGCTAACCATATATAATTACTCCAAATTCTTCTTCTCTGGCAATTTACTCAAACTTCAGTTGTATGATTTGTGTTATAATTATAGCACCATTTTCCTAGCTATCTTCCTCTGGCTCTGCTGGAACAAAATCACTTGTAGGAAAAAACTGTTTTCATATTCCCATTCCTAGTTCTTTCTCCCTAGTGTTAGGTTAATTCTGAATCCTAGTGTAAAAATTGCTGACAGAACTTTTAGCATTTTTCAGGATGCGCAAAGAAATGTGAAATCAGAATTGAGCAGCTGCAGCTCCATTCCTAGGCAATATTGAGGAAGAAATTAAGCACCCTGGATGTTAAGAAAGCAGACTGACCGACCATTCTAGCACATATGTGGGTGTCCAATAAATTTAAATATTCTACCAATCCCAGATAGTAGCCAACAAAGTAAAATTGTGAACTCACATATACTCCCTGCATAATAGTATGAGATTTTAGATATTAATAGCATGACATGCACAATATGAAAATATAATACTCTGTATTTTTTTAAATCTAGCTTATGATTGATACACCTACCAGTCCAATTACCAGTGGACTTCCATTATTCTTTGTGATAACAGTAACCGCCATAAAGCAGGTATGAAATACTTCCTATTATTGTTGTTGTTTTTTCCCATTGAGAAAGTTGCTAATATTTCCACTCCAGAGTAATATGTATTGTTCTAAAAATAATTTCCATAAGAAAACAGCAAATTTGTTTGGTAACATAATAAAATTAAATTGAGTTAGCCACGCTGCTGTATTTCAGAGTACCTGATAACTCATGAATAATTACTATTTGTAAAATATTGTATTACCTTTACACAGCAAAGAAACATCTAAAAACAAGTGTTGGGCCAGGGATTTAGCTCAGTGGCACCGCTGCCTGCCTCACAAGCACAAGGTCCTGAGTTTGATCCCTGGTATCAAAAAATAATAAAAACAAGTGTTATGTGTACAAGACAATTTACATATGAAACATTATTATAATCAACTTTGTGGGGTTTGTTGATATTTAAAGGAAGTATAATTCCAAAAAGATATGTTTATGTGATAAATTTCCAATTCATAGGATATAGGGATAGGGTATAGGTTGTCATGGAAATAAAATTGACAAAATTTTAAATTTCTAGGATGAAATATATTCTTTATCACATAGGAGAATGAGAGTCTACAGATTAACAATAAACCTAAATTATAAATAAAGAGCAAAATGAAAAATAGATATAGGAAGTAAAAATAGAAGATACTGTGGACCCTCGAGTTACAACTGGCCCATCATACATACAAACAACTTGAGTTACGACCAGAATGTTAGCTTTAACTTATGACCATAGTCTTAAGTTACCACCTGAATGCTGGCCACTTATACTTCCAGATGGTCTCAGATACAGATTTAACCTTTAAAGAGTTCTGGAAGGAACGTTACAGCATCCTTGCCTGTGTGGGCTTAAGTGAGAAATGCTGGGCAAATGTCTCTCTTAAGGACACAGATCTGCCTTTACACAGGAGAGAGGCTTTGAAGCCTGAGCCTTCAGTTGACCAACTTGAATTACAACCAGCCCTCAGGAACAAATTGAGTTCATAAGTCAAGGGTCCACTGTATAGGAACTTTCTCAGCTGGGAAGGGGATCAAAAGATAGAGGGAAGGAAAGAGGGAAAGGGGTTGAAAAAAGGAATGAAGATGTGTTATGTACATGGCCCAACTCCAACAAGGAATGTCAACATTACGTACTGCACACGTGTACTGACAGAAATTTTTTTAAACATGAAATAGCTATTTGCAGTGAAATAGACAAGTTGTAAAAGGTAGTTGGGAACTGGAATTGTAACAGATCATGCAAAACTTTGCTTAAATGATACAGGTCTGTTATATAAAGAGTCTGTTCATTTGATTAAAGCAATCATGTTGTAAAAGAAGTTACATTAATCATTTAGTGTGTCAGAGACTATTATGCCACAGCTGTCACTAAGTTACTTGGCTTTGCAGATGTCATCTAATGCATGAGAGTAACACCTACTTTTCCTTGGACCTCTTTTCTATATATACTTTCCTCCTAGGTGATTTGATCCAGTCCAGTGGTTTAAAGTACCATCTATGTACTGATGATTACTAAATCTATACATTGATAGTTTCTATTCTGAAACTACTCTTTTAACTCCAAACACGCATATACAACTCTTTGCACATCATTTTCACCTGAACACCTCAAAAGAATCTCAAACAGAACTGTTGCTATTTTTCCAGCTAAAGTTGCAGTACTCTCACTGTTGGCCAGTTTATTGAGGGCACTACTATATTTCTACCACAAACCTTGATATCCTCATCCTTTGACTTTTTAATCTCTACCTTCAAGATCAACCTAATTAGTCCAAGTCACCAGCCATTGCCCCTTGCCTGGACAATTACGTTATTCTGCTAATAGGTAATAGGCTCTCACTTCCACTCCTGCCCTCCTGCTGATTTCATACAGCAACAAGGTTGGTCTCTTAAAATTAGATCACACTACCTTTGGGTAGTTTCTTATCAGACTGATCAAAACACAGCTCTTTAGTGATTTACCCAGTTTAGCCTCTGATTCCTGCATTTCTGCCATTCCCCCCCCCCCCATTTTTCCTTTTAGTTATGTTCTCCAGCTGCCCTTGTCCTCACATGCAGTGGGCATGCTCCTCTCTCATAACTGTGTGGCTTGCTGTCTTCCCAGATACACAGTTGCACAGCTCAATCCCTCGTTTTACTTGGATTCTTTTTTTTTAAAACACTGTATTTACTGAGAGTCTGGCAATAGCTTTATGTAACAACATATAGCATACCAGGTCTGCCACACAACTTGTTTTTTTGTTTTGTTTTTTTGCACTGGGGATCGAACTCAGGACCTTTCGCTTATGAAGCAGGCAGTGGAACCACTGAGCTAAATCCCCGGCCTCAACTTGTTTATAAGTCTCAGCTTCACTATGAAGCTGTTTAAAAACAAAAAATCAAAATCTCCTTTTTTTATATGCTAAATATCCTGGCAAGGGTGCCATTAAACATAATAATGAACTTGAGACAGCAAGAGTAAAGAGTTAACAAAAGCTAAATATGGCAGCCTAAACAAATTCATACAAAAAAATAAACTATCATTGGTTACATAAAATTTTCCTGACTGGTTAAAACTCAACAGTATAAAACATGCACTTTAGAATATTTAGCTAATAAGTTCAGAAGGTACCAGTGTCTATATGAAACAATTCCTCTCCAAAGCCAAAGTATAGTCAAAAATTAATTTAAATGATATTAACATATTCTAAAGGTAAAAAACATTCAGTTGTTATTGATGTGGAGGTAAACCCAGAACTTTGGGGCTTTCTCATGCTGCAAAGGGCTGTTTCTCTGGTTACCCACCTCCGACCTCCCCAGTAAGCATGGTTACTGTGTCCATGAAAGTAGGATGTGTGAGGATCAAAGGCACACTATTCTGCAAGCTAAAGAGAGAGCAAACCACCCCTCCCTCCACCCGAAAAGCTCCTTCCCAAGGTAAATAAAAGTATACTGGGGAAAAATTACACCTATCTACAGAATAAGGAATTCAAAATATTAATGTAATCCCTACTTTAAAAAATTTAACTAGAGTCATCTGGCCATTTCTGATTATATCTTAAAGATGTATCCAGATTGAATTTCTGTTGATTTACCACTAGATACTTCTAGTCAAAAATATTAGCTTTATCCCCAAATATCTTAACCACTAGTACGACTGCAGTGTATCATCTCCCAAGGTTATCACACCCTGGAGGAGCAAAAGTAGATGTTCAAGTAGCAAGCAACAATTATGGCCCTTTCACATAGCAGCATCTGAGTGGCTATTGAATAGTCCAAGAACAGTTCTAAAAACAAGAAAATTCATGCATTTTAGTAAATATATCATAATTTTCACAGTTGAAATTTCCTTAGACATTGCACTTTCTTCATAAGAGAATCCTGGTCTTTGTTAATGTTATGGTGAGTCAGGACTTGAACTAGCAGCCTTCTTTTTCTTCTTCTTACTGTGTTTCTTATGCTTCTTTTTCTTTTTTGATTTTTCTGTTGCTTTTTCTCGTTCTTCACTGCTTTTCTTCTTTTTTGCTCATACCTCTTCAATATAATCTGATTCAGATAAGGACTCATGATAAAGGTTTATCTTCAGGATACATCTTTACATCTTTCTTTTTTTGCTGAGTCCTTTAATGTCCTTCTCTTTCTCAGTTGCATCCTTTGACTTCCTTTTCTTTTTTAAACTATCCTTACTGTCTGATTCAGTTTCTGACATGGAGCTTTCAGAAGATTTATGCGAACGGTTCTTCTTTTTCTTTCTCCTTTTTGCTTGCTTCTTTTCCTCATCTTCAGAATCTGAAGAACTGCTGGAGGAATCAGAGCTTGATGAAGAAAATGAATACCTACCAGATTTCTTCTTTTCTTTCTTCTTTTTCTGTTTTTTTTTTTTTGATGAGCTTTCATTTCCACTTAATAATTTCTCCCTGTGCTTTTCTAGTTCTTTCTTCCAATTCTCATTCATTTTTTCTTCAGATTCAGCCAAAGCCTTAGAGCCTTTCTTTTTCTTTTCTAGTTGCTCTTTCACTTCTTCCCACCTGATTGTCCCACTTCCTTATCTCATGCTGGACCAAGCTCACAGTAAGACTGTGAGCGAGAGAGCAGGCCAGAGAAACAGCCGAGGCAGCCCACTGCAGGTCCTTCTGTCACTGCCCCCCCTGGATTCTTAAACTTTGGCCTTTTGTGGCCACCGTGTTGCTCTCTCATTTCCTCTGGCCCTTTTTCTTTAGTCATGACCTCATGCTCCATTGAATACATGTTTATTAGCTTACCTGCCATTTTATTGAAATGACTTTTATGTTTATGAGTGCAGACTTTTTTTTATATACTGGTTTATGTCAAGAAGCCAGAACAAGGCCATACACATGTAGGGGCATTAATAAATATTTGCAGAATAAACGAATAAGAGTGAATAAACCTATGGAACATTTGTAAAGCAAAATACCTCTTGCCGCTGTCTTCCAATATATATTTGCCCAAATATGGACTGCATTTAATTAGAATATCATACCATTAACTGAATTGAAAAAAATTATGGTGAATGCATATCTGCAAGATAAGAGGGCTTTTTATTTTTTTTATATTTTTTGGTACCAGGGATCAAACACGGGTAAGAGTTTTAATAATAATTGACAATCTGCCTTCTTCAAAAATGGGTTAAGTAAAAATGCATAAAACCAGAAAGATTGTTCCTCAAACGTGTATTAGTACAGCTTTTGCAGCTAAGCACTAAATCGAGATGAGAGGTTCTTGATAGCTCAGGCAAAGGGAGAGATATAAATGGTGATAAAATTTTCAAAAAGCATATTTGATCTGTAAGGATTTTCTCCCTTTCTCAAAACAGAATTTCAGGCTCAGCTTTTTCTCTTTTGTAGCAACTGTTCCCAAGTTTTACTCATTTAATAAACACATAGTGTTTCTATATATTGTTCAGATTTACATGTGTATCACTATAGATGAATAGAACAAATTTTAGAAAAATTATGAAAGTGAGAATTGCAGTGTTCCAAGCTTCCCTTTTTCTTTTG